GATATTGAGGAAACAGGACAAAGAAGGGAGAGTTTTTGAAGGAGATCCTGAGAAGGTTCCCAGGCTTGTTGGGAGGTCAGTGAGAGAAGCTGAGGCTCCCTGCCAGGTGATGTCAGGGTTCCTCCTGGAGCCGGAAGCAAGCTCCCCAGGGCAGCTCCACAGCAAGCCCCAGCCCTGAGTGCAAGCCCAGGAGAAGCAGCTGAGTTCACCTAAAGGGGGTCACTTGGCCCTCACCTAGTTCCCTCTAGTTTGACTGAATTTTAGACCAGTATCTTCCTCCCTGTAGGCTCCTGACTTTCCATCTACTCTAGAAAACTTGTCCTCGTAAATATTCTCTGGATCTTTTGAAATGTAAATTCTTTTAAAAGCCTCCCATTCGTTTCACAACCCCAGGGTATCTTTCCCAGAATCCTAGGACCCATCCATTTGAAATATAATCATCAAAGACCACAGCCTTGCCCAGCCGGGCGTGGCTCAGCGGTTGAGCGTCGACCTAGGATCCAGGCGATCAGGGTTCGATTCCCGGTCAGGGCACATGCCCGGGTTGCGGGTTGCAGCCGATCAATGACTCTCATCATTGATGTTTCTCTCTCTCTCTCCCTCTCCCTTCCGCTCTCTGAAGTCAATAAAGATATATTTAAAAAAAAAAAAAGACCATAGCCTTTCCGCCTCCCAGCCTCTGTGGAAGGGTGGGAGCCCAACTTCCATAAGCACCTTGCTTCAAGTTACAAAACTACTTGTTGTCATGAAGACACAAGAAAATTTGCTTTTCTTTTGGGTAAAGCCAATTAGCAAACACAGATGGACAACATTACGCTACCCCAGCTCTTAAAAACTCTCCTGACTTTTGTTTCAGAGGAATTGAGTCTAGACTCTAGTTGGGGCCTCTCTCCCTTATGCAATAGCCTTGAATGAAGTCCCCTTTGCCTACTGAATTCTGACCAGTGCCATTTCCTCCTGGACAGCCCTCGTGAAAGCCCAGCTTATGAATTTGCAACGGGAGCAGACAAACACTGTGGGTCTCTGCCACCGGCGCTCAGCCACCTGCACATTAAGAAGATGAAGGACTGTCAGGACCGCATGTGAGGTTCTGTAGCGCAAGGACGCAAACGAACAAGGTTGACGACAGAATTTTTTGGTGGCACGTGGTGAGGTTTAGTTGGCTGGGGAAAGAATTGAAGGCTGCTGGTCGATTGAAAGAAAAGTGTGGAATCAAAACATGAGAGCACTGCAGGAGATTAAAAATAAAGCAAAGCAGATGCAAGGGCCTGAAAGCAGCAGGAGAGGCGGCCATTCTCGGGGAGGAGCAGACCCAGTTTGGCCATGTCACTCCCAGCTAGAGTCCCTTTGCTGGTTTTTCATTGTCTCAGGGATGATGTCACTTTCTTAATGTGACAACTGCTACTTCCATTCGCATCTCCAGCCTTTTTTGCAACACACACACACACACACACACACGTGTGTGTTTGTGTACACGTGTCCCTTCCCCCACCCGAAACATCCTGAAACACACCCTCACATGCTCAGCTCGGGCACTTGATCTTGGATGACTTCTGCGAGTTCCAGGCAGACTCATGGCTGTTCCCTTAACTTCCACAGCATTTCTAGTATAGACGGTGTTTTCACAGCTTTACATTTTTTGAAAAGCCTTTCTCCTTCTTAATTGTAGGTTAAAATGTGAAATTTAGTGGTTTCGTAGTCAAAGGGTGTGTGGTTTTCTTTAGTGCGTTTTGGAGGTGACAAGATTTTTACCCCCTACCCCTAGCTGTACAATGGAAAACATCCCTTAACTCCAAGGGACATTTCCACAGAGGCTGACTCATTTTCAGGCAGGGTTCCCATCTAGAGATTGTCCCGAAGGTTTGCACAGCAGGGCGGGGGGAGGAGAGACAGGCCCGATCGGGCCCAGGCAACGTCAGGGCTGAGCTGAGCTGAGCAGCAAGCATGGGGGCGGCAGGAAGAGGCAGAGGGCGGGCAGGCTTCACCCCAAGAACCCTGAGGGTGGAAACCAAGGAGCTAGAATCCCTGAAACAAGTGAAACTCAACATCAGGGCCAGGCGAGATTGTATCCCATATGCCTAACGCAGGGAGCAACCGGGACACAGAGACAGAAGGTCAAGGCAACCCGGGCAAGTGCCTAAGACTCGGTTTTATTAAAGGAGACAGGTGCCGCCGGGCCTATCTACTTGAAGCCTCTACCCTGCATGCATTAAACCAAAGCAGAAAAGAGGGCTTCCTGCCTCTCCCCTCGTGGAGGGTGGGATGGGGGACACATCGCCACCTTTTACATCTTCCAGGTAAGAACCACATGAGTCGGTTTCTGCCTTGAGATGTCAACAAAGCGCTAACAGGTGATTCAGGTGAGACGGGATTCTCGTTAAGTTTCGCCAGGACTATTCCACTCCATGAACATAGTCGCCTCCCAATAACAGGGCTAAGACAGAAGCGAGGAAACTTCTGTGGCAGAAGAATTCACGTAGGGAACCAAAGATCTCCTTCAAAAACATGGTGATGTTAAGAATTTAGTGTTCATCTTTTAATCGATGACAATGAAGTTGTTCTTGTGTTTTTAAAAGCCCTTGTAGTGACAAAAATGTTACTAAAAATGAAGAGGAAGTTCTGTAATGATAAAGGAACACTCCATCTGGAAGATATAGCACCTCAAAATACATGAAGCAAAAACAGGCAATTTTGAAGGGAGGAGCAGATAACTCAACAATAAAAGCTGGATATATAAAAACCATGTTTCAGTAATAAGTAAGAAACCTAGACCGAAGACCCACAGGACAACAGAACACTTGAGCAACACTCTAAACCAGTAGATCTTATACACACGCACTTGACACAGGAATGTTTGCATTGTGATTAATAAATTGGCATCCTGGCCTGGAAAGGTCAGTCTCCAGAACTTCAGCTAATTGTTATTAGCATTCCTGGCCCCAAAAGACTCAGACACCTTCAGGGCACTAACAAAATGTGCTCCTTCTCCGGCTCTGCTGGGCTTACCTGGTGCGGCCTCCTGGCAATCAGCCAATGGCCCTCTCTGGCGATGCTGTTCCAAGACAGGGTGGCCGTGGGGGTGCGAGGGAGGGTGGTTGGGGACGATCCTCGGGAATCACAAAGCTTTCTCCCCTGCACCCTTCTTTTTGCACGGCGTTTCTGGAGTCGCTCCATTTCTCACCTTGCTCATTGGAGCTCTTTCTGGTACCTCTGCTCCCATCTTCCATCCTACCTCCCGTTCCCCCTGCTTTGACTTTTTCAATGGTTCCCAAGTGTTCTCACATTCAAGGTCAAACCACTACACCTGATTGAGGTAACAGTTTCACTGAATCTGCAACTACTTCGCCCCTGGCTCTTCTCCATCCAGTATTGCTCAGTTGGTGGTGTCATTGATATACTGGGTGGGACAGTTCATTGTGTAAGACTATCCCGTGCATTTCAATAGGTCTAGCATTCCTGTCTCCTGCCCACTGAATGCTTAAAGTACCCCACCTTTAAAGATTGTGACAAATCATGCCCCTAGATATTTCCAAACACCCCCTAGCGGGGTGGTTGCTACTGGCCCCTTACACCTCAGCTCAAGTAGGGGCTAAACCATATACAAATGCCATTTTCATAGCTCAAGAACATCGTGCATTGGCTATTTCATATGTTTCAACTGAATACTTTCTTTTTGGAAGCCCTCGGGACTAATGGCCTACAGCACCTGTGACTTTCTTTATTCAAGTGCTAATCACCGTGTGTCAACATAGCTGGCTTAGTTGTCATCCCCTCCCTCTAACCGAACTTCTCAGCTCTAATTACCTGGGAGCAAAGATCGAGTTCTCACTTTACCTCTTGGTATCTCAAGCTTCCTTTGGCTCAGTGCCTGGCACATAATAGGCCCTCACGCTATTAATCAGGCAGGATATTGAGCATACTTTCCCTGGTGATTCAGCGGTGTCATTCCTGGGCACGGAGATGTCTAGATGTCTTCAGAGCTTACTGAGCCACTTACAGCTTCTGTCTCTACACTAAATGACACACCACCTCCCTGCAGAATGGATTTGCATGTCTGGGTTTGGCATCATCTCATCAGTGTCCCTCCCTCCAGTGATCTTTCCAGTGGCCTTTGGAATCTGGGGAAGATTGTCCCGACTGCAATGCGGAGGTGAGGCGCGAGCCACGGTGACTACACTGGTTCAGGGGCCTTTTGCCTTATGCTGGGCTCTTGCTCCGTTTCTGGCTTCAGACACATCTGAAGTCTCTCCTCTGGTTAGTGGAGCTCTATCAGGTTCTAAGAGCCTTTTGCATGGTCATGTTCTTTTTGGAAACAGCTGAAAGATGACTCAGCAGGACTTTTGAAGTAGAGGGATGTTCCTGTGCTGAGATGCCGCTTCTAGGTCCCTGGCTCGTGACAAAATGATGGACTAAGGTTTCTCAAGGTATTTTCAAAATAGCTGTTCTGTCTCTGTGGTCACAAAGCATAGGGGTGCATTTTTATTTTATTTTATTTTATTTTATTTTATTTTTTTATTTTTATTTTTTTTATTTTACTTCAGAACCCTGTCCTGTTTAATGATCCAAACAAAGAAAGGGGCAAACATCTAGGAATGATATAACACTCTTACAACCTTCTGAAATATCCATGTATTCCAAGACCTTCAATAATGGGCTTTGATCATGCAGGCACATGGGTACAACTTTTTATTTTTAAAAAATTTCATATTAATAAACACCAAGCTATGAATCTCAGCTATAGGGCCTTTCTAATTTCTGATTTGGATGACTTTGAATCCCGCTCCAAAACACCCACTTTCCATTATGATTCATAGAGAATGAAGTTCTAGAGCAGGAGGCTGAGTGGAGGGAACACCCAGGCAGAAGTAATTGGGAAATACAACTTCAGAAAACGCTTACATCTCCTACTATACCTTTAAATTTTTTTGTATATCTTAAACACTATACAACTCAATCGACAAACAATTTTTGGTTCTTTCATTTATTTTTAATATTTATTCTCATCGTTTTCCTCTTTTACAGGTATTACAACAATTTAGGAAACAAAACTATAAACAGAAGACTGTTAAATAACTTTAAAAAGAGCTGCTACTTGCAAAAGAAATTCATATAATCTTAGTCCTCCAAGCATAATGTTATACCTTGTACTAAACTAAAAAGTTTATGGGAAATTATTATTAAATAGCAAAACATACACACAAAAGCCCATATATATAAATAACTTAACATAAAATAGTTTGACTCTAATGCAGCATTTAACGAAGCCAAGTGTGATGCAATATGTATCAACTTCATTAACTGGACAAGTCCAATGACACAAATCAGAGAAGGGCTGAGCCCTCACCGACGTGCGAGTGGCCGTGTCCAATTTCACTCCAGAGATCGCCAGCTTTCACATCCTCCGGACTCTTTGGCTGTAACGGGAAAGAAAAGAAACACATAAGCAAAGGCAGGGGGCAGGCGTCCGTGCCTGACAGTCGCCCCCAATCCCCAATCCCGGCTCAGGGTGCCAAGCAGCTCCGAGTCCAGGTGAGAGCCTCGAGGCTCAGAGCGGACGGGCCCTGCCCGTCACAGCTCGGTGAGCTAATGACAGAAGCAAGATGTGAACGCTTATATTATGTCTTCAGATTCTGAGTCTGTGGCTCCCTGGCATTAGGTGACTTCTGTCCATTAATAAAATGTGATTCTCTATTATCATCAGTGTAAATCAGAACCAGTGTTCTCTTTTTTACTGCTTATATTTCAGTGTTTAACAAACAAATGTCATGGACTCTACAAATGATACAAAGAGGAGACGTGTTTGCTACAAGAATCAAACAGCTTGTGACAATCAAATGCATAGAGGAATCTAAGACGTCATGTGAAAAATCACTACATTTAAAAAAAAAACAAGTGATTGATAAGTGGAAAAAGTGAATTTTTGTTTTGACGGTCCAACTTAAATTTCCCTTTTAAAAATTCCACAGTGTGCCCGGCCGGGCGTGGCTCAGCGGTTGAGCATCGACCTAGGATCCAGGCGATCGGGGTTCGATTCCCGGTCAGGGCACATGCCCGGGTTGCGGGCTCGATCAATGACTTTCTCATCATTGATGTTTCTGTCTTTCTCTCTCCCTCTCCTTTTCTCTCTCTGAAATCAATAAAGATATATTTAAAAAAAAAAAATTCCACAGTGCTTAGGCTAAAAAATCCCAGCGAGACTAGGACCCACTGCTCTGCACGCTGCTCTTGGCCCAGACGTTTGGAGAGGGGCTGAGGGACTGCGGGTGCTTCCTACCTGAGGACGTGCACAGCATGCTTCACCCACTTCTTCTTCGGATCTGCACACACAGCGAACCCCTTCTTTGTGTGGAAGCTGAAAAATCAGAATATTTGATTTGTCTTTAAAGAGCTTCTAAATGGCTTTTTCACCAAACGTGCAATGGGAATTTCATATTCCAATTGATTTCTCTACACACTAAGCATTTTATTTACATCAGAAGTGAAACAAAATACAAAAAAAAAAAAAAAAAATCCCAATAAAGCTTGATGCAAAAAATGAAAGGGATACTCCCTGACTTTCTCTGCAATTTAACAAATGGTTGTGCAATGGCAGCAAATAAAGTCTCAGAATTTATATATATGATCAATAACTTATATTATTCCAAAGTATGATATCCTATAGAAATCAAGAATATTGTACTTGACAGTGCAAGTACTCTGAGCTTTTACTCACAGCCTCAACCATTTTCTGGTAGAAGAGGCTCATTTTAAAGTCTACGTTTTCCATATTTTCTGGAGATAGCACTTTAGTAGCCTATAAGTTTATCTTGATTTTGCCCCTTACTATGTTTCTTCAAAAAAAACCTTTTGCCTTAGTTGAGTCCTATTTAAAGTGAACTCTGAGTCAAGTCTCCTTTAGTTCCCATAGAAGACTTGACTTGGCGTGGAGAACACGCAATGCGCTGTACAGATGATGTATCGTCAAACTGTACACATGAGACCTATTGATAATTTTATTAACCAATGCCACCCCAATCGACTTAATAAAATTAAATATCTATATAGAAAAGCGAGCTTTGAAATAGATGCAGTACTAAAACAAAGCTATTTTTGCCACATTTGTTGTTTCTGAATGAAACTCAAAAAAGGCAAAAATGTTTATACCTGAAATTCCCATGTACTCTGATACAATTGAGTTAAAATCAACTCTTAACTTACATGACGGCATTGATGTCACAAGCTTCATTGGCCAGCTGCTGTATGAAGCCCTTGAGAAATTTGCTCGGAATGACCTGTTCTGTATACCGAAGGCAGCAGTCGAAGGTGCTTGCTGCTAAAAAGAAACGGAAGGTATTGAGTCCATAAGGATGCCTGTGAGAGGTATTATGAAACTACTTGTATTGTGAAAAACCTAGAATCTGATTTATGTGGTAAGTAAACTCTTTAGAGGAAGAGTTCTAGTGTCTTTGAGACCCAATTTCACATAGTTTTCAGTTCTCTTAAAAAAATAGTTTGTGTGATGGGAAATGTTGGTTCAATAATATAGTTTAGAAGCATAGTTTATGACTTCTCATAAAAGCAATATCTTTAGTAAGATGCACACACTGACTCTTATTTCAATCCACTATAATTACTCAAAAATAGGAGTAACTCCCACTTGAAGAAACTCTTATCGATAACCTCCCAAATTCAGAAAATGAATAAATTGGTAGATTTTCACCTACTACCTGGCTGCTGGATATTGAGAGGAAAGAAAAGACAAGACTTTACAAAGGTAAGTGTGGTTCATAAAAGTTGATTTTATATGAACTCTAAAGCATCTTGAAGTTATAACAGCTAATGGAAATGTTTTCATTTTGTTCATAGAAGTTCAACATGTGCATTTTTAGGAATGCACCTGTTGCTAAAAGTGATGCTCTCTTACAACTATAAAGCAATACTTGGACATTCCTCCAAGTTGAATTACAACCTGTAGTTAGGTAAGGGATAAACGTTACGACAAAGTTGGAAGCGATGTCCCAGAGACCTCTCAAGGATGAAGTCAGTTACCATAATCCACCCCTAAAAAATGAGTTTTGAACTTCGCTGAAACTATTTAGTTGAGAGATGAGTAAGCTGGGGAAGTGAAAGTGTTCCTTACATTTCAGGATGACTTCATTCACTGGTACTGTTACCCAATTTACATCAGTCACTCCCAGAAATAGCCCTTTGGCAGCTTTCTGGAGCTCAGGGGTCTCTGTGAGCCCACCCACCCCCGATCTGCTGGGGCTGAGAGCAGAGAGGAAAGTCTGGTCAGCAGCAGGAACCTTTCCCTCCTTCATTCACTGACGAGCTGACAACTCCCATGACACCCTTTTGAAAACTCGCTAGCAGGCGTCTATGCTGTGGGGACCCCAAAGGAGCCCAAGGCTTAGAGGAAAGTGAAAATAGTTCTCCCTCCCGGGTGAGCAGAAGAATGACACTTACCTTCCGACCTGCTGCTGAGGTGGAGCAGCAGCACTGGCATCAAAGCAGCCAGGAGCCAGATCTTGCCACTGCCCATCATTTTCAGCTCAGAGACGAGATGCGCGCGGTGCTGGGTACCCGGGGCCTGGGAGCGCTGTAAGTTCTGGCAGCAACCTGGGCCTTAGATGGCACTACTTATAGCCATTACTTGGGAATGTACACAAAAGGCGTGTTCTCCCACGGGGTTTTCCCCATCGATGGACCTGCCCCGTCTTGTCGTCACAGAAAAAATCTACAGGGAAAACTTCCTGCCTTTCTGTTTTTGGGAAGATATGAAGGTCAGGGTTGGGGAGGGGGGGGAAAGGGGAAATCCTTTTACATCCTTTGAAGATTCCCATCCAGCTATAACTTAATTTCTTGTCTCTGAAAAGAGAGGGCAAGGGTTAACAATAATACAAAGGTCAGCCCCACACAGGAACATTCCAGAACTCATTGTTATATTCTATTTGCTTTCCAAAGCCAATCAGAGAGGGGGAGGATGGGGTAGGATTCCAGGCATACCTTTTACAACTGCATAGCTGGTGCCCAGCTATCACCAAAGACCTTGAATTTCTAGGCTACCTTTCAGAGCAGGTAATATAGCAGTGCAGTAGTAGAATCCCCGAGTTTTGTGGGAAATGCCAGCCCTTAAGTAAGACTCAAGCTTCAGCTTCATCTTGATTTTGTGACAACTCTTCTCAGAATCTGCTCTATTTACATGACTCTAATCAATACTGCAGCCCAGAAAGTAATCCCCACCTGCCCTAAACGCTTCAAGCTAATGTAGTTATATAATTCCATCCAACATTCAGTAAGCTTGAAAAAGAAGAAAAATGAAGAGCATCCGCAATAGTTAAGCAACAAAGCGAATGTCAAATAATAGTGATAATGACAATAATGTAATGCGCACTCCTAACCTTTGGTGGTGTACTGAGTACTCAGCACTCTCCACCAGGGAGAATATCACTGAATGCTGGGGGGTGGGTTTGCCGGGCAGGTGAATGGTAAAGAAACAACACAAGGGAGTTTGGGGGGGTGATAGAATTATTTTATATCCTATTATGGGCATAGTTATACATTATCTACACAAGTGTTAAAATTCATAAAGCTCTACATTTTTAAAAAAAGGGAATTGTATTAGACGGTTATTTTAAAAACAAAAGCATTGAAATCATTTTTTAAAAACTGTCCACTAAACACTAATGGATTGAAAAACATATATATCATAAACAATAAACAAAAGATAACTAGAGTTGCTGTGCCTATAGCTAAAAAACAACAACACACACATAAAAACCAAGAGATTTTAAAAACACAAATCTTACTAGAAACAAAGAGGAAGTTTCATAATGATGGAAGATCAATCCATCCAGAAGATATAAAAATTTTGACCAAATATACATCAGCAACAGCACCTCAAAATACATGAAGCAAAAACTGGCAAAATTAAAGGGAGGGATAGACAATTCAACAACAAAAGTTGGATCCATCAATACCATATTTTCAATAATAATTAGAAAATCTAGACAGAAGATCCACAGGACAACAAAATACTTGCACAACACTCTACACCAAGCAGACCTAACAGACATCTATGGAACACTTCGCCCAGCAGCAATGGAATAGGCATTCTTTTCAAGTACGTATGGAACCTCTTCCTAGCACACATCATATGCTAGGACATAGACCAAGTCTTAATAAATTTTAAAGGATGGAAATCATACGAAATATATTTCAAACCACAATGGAATTAAATTAGAATTCACTAACAGAAGGAAATTTTGGAAAGTCACAAATATGTGGATATTAAACAATACATCTCTAAGCAACCAATGTGTCAAAGAAGAAATCAATAAAGAAAGGAGAAAATATGTTGAGAGGAATGAAAATGAAAATACAACATACCGAAACTTATGTGATTCAGTGAAAGCACTGCTCAGAGGGAAACTTATAGCAGGGACAAAGGAAATAGCAAAGCAACAAGGGAAATCAGTGGAACCAAACGCTGATTCTTGGGAAAGATCAACAAAATTAACAAACTTTAATGGGCTAACCAAGAAAATAAAGGAGGGCAGGGGAGGAAAATGGAGAGGCGACAAATTGCTAAACTCAGGAATGAAAAAGGAGACATCTTCACCAACTTAAAGACACAAAAAGGACTAGAAGAGACTCCTACAAACAGCTGTGTGCCAATAAATTAGATCGTATAGGTGAACGGAACACGTTATGAGAAAGACACAAATTACTGAGACCGACTCAAGTAGATGTGAAATGTTTGAATAGCTCCATAATAAGTAAAGATATCGAATTGGTAACTAAAAATATTTCTACAAAGAAAAGCTCAGACTCAGATGATTTCACTGGTCAATTCTACCAAACATTCAAAAAAATTAAAAACAATTTTTCACCAACTTTTCCAAAACATAGAAGAGGAGGGAACAATTTCTAACTCACTCTGTGAGGATGGTATTGAGCTGATATCAAAATAAGGAAAAGACGTCACAAGGAATATACAGGCCAATAATATCTCTTATGAATGTAGATAAAAAGTCCTCAACAAGATACTAGTAAACTGTGTCCAGTAAATATATAAAGGGTCATGCACCATAACTAGTGGGATTTATCCTAGGATATGTGAGACACTCGATACTAACGGAATAAACAAGAACCGTATGAAAAATATTTGATAAAAATCCAAGTAGGAGTTGACTCATCAAACTAGGAATACTAAAAAACTTCCTCAACCTGATAAAGATCATCTATGAAAATCCAACAGGTAATACCATACTTAATGTTGGGAGACTGAATCTTTCCCCCTGAGATCGAGACCAAGAAAGGGGTGCCTGTTCTCACCACTTCAACACTGTGCTGGAGGTTCTAGACACAATAATTAGGCAAAAAGAGGGAAAGGCACCCAGAACCACAAAGGAAGTAGTAACTGTCTTAATTTGCAGATGAAATAATCTTGTATATAGAAAACCCTAAAGAATCTACTAAAAAACAATTGGAAGTAATAAGTTCAACAAAGTTACAAGATTCAAGACCAATACACAAAGACCAATACACAGAAATCAGTTGCATTTCTTTACACTATCAATAAATAACCTGAAAATAAAATTAAGAAAACAATGACTATCACAATAACATTAAAATATTAAAATACGTAGGTATAAATTTAACAAAATAAGTTAAAATTGTAACTGAAAAACTATAAAACATTATTAAAGAAATTAAAGATGACTTCTAAGTATATAAAAAGACAGCCCATGTCATAGATTAGAAGACTTAACATTGTTAAAATGGGACTACTCCTCAAATTGATCTACAGATTCAACACAATTCCTATCACAATCCCAGCTAGACTATTTTCAGAAATGGTAGAGCTAATACTCAAATTCGTATGGAATTATAAGGGATCCTAGATAGCCAAAACAATCTTGAAAAGGAAGAACAAAGTCAAAGAACTTACACTCCATGATTCCAAAACTTACTAAAAAACTACACTAATCAAGATGTGGTACTGGTACAAGTGCAGACACACAGATCAATGGAAAAGAATTGAGAGTCCAGATATAAATCCCCATTTCTATGGTCAACCAACCTATTCAATGAGGGGAAAGAAGAGCCTTTTCCACAAATGGTGATGGGATAATTGGGTATCCAAATGCCAAAGAATGATGTTAAACCACTACCTCATCCATACACAAAAATTAACTCAGAATGGACCATTGACCTAAATATAAGAGCTAAAATCCTGAAATTCTTAGAAGAAAACATGGGAGTAAATCTTCATGAGCTCTGGTTAGGCAATGGTTTTTCAGATACAACACCAAATGTTCAAACAACAAAATAAAAAACAAATAAACTGAACTATATAAAAAATATAATCTTCAGTGATTCAAAGGATACTATAAAAATGTGGGGGAAAAAACCCACGGAAAGGCAGAAAATGTTTGCAAATCATATTTCTGATAAGGGTCTTATACTTGTATCCAGAATATGTCAAGAACTCTTAAAAATTAAAAATTAAAAGATAAATAACCCAACTTAAAACTGTACAAAAAAATTTGAGTAGATATTTCTACAAAGATGTATAAATAGCCAACAAGCACAAGAGAAGATGCTTGATACCTTTAGTCATTAGGAAATTGTAAATAAAGACCACAATGAGATACCACTTCACACCCACAAGAATGGCCGTAATAAAAAAGACAGATGAGTGTTGACAGTGATGTGGAGAAACTGAACCCTCACACACTGTTGATGATGAAATACGATGAAATCACTTTGGAAAACAGTTTGACAGTTTCTCAAATGGTAAATCATAGAACTACCATATGACCAAGCAATCCCACTCCCAGATCTACACCCAAGAGATATGTCCATGGCAGAATTATTCATAAGAGCCAAAAAATGGAAACAATCCATGTGTCATAAACTAACAAATATATAAACAAAATGTGGTCAATTCCTACAATGAAATAGTATTTGGCAATAACAATGAATGACGTCCTGATGGATACTGCAACATGGTTGATGCTTAAAACGTTATACTAAGTGAAAAGAAAACACAAAGGACAACATGCTATATGATTTCATTTCTAAGAAATGTTCAAAAGTGGCAACCCTACAGAGACAGGACATAGAATAGCGGTTATCTAGGGCTAGGTTGGGGTGTCGGGGTTAAAGGAGGGGTATGGAGAGTGAGAGCTAAAGCCTATGTGGTTTCTTTTTTATTATTTTTTCTAAAAATAGGTAGCGATGGTGTTTGCATAACACCATACTAAACCACATTGAGTTGTTCACTTTAAAAGGGTGAATTTCATGGCATATGAATTATAGGTCAATAAAGGTCATAACAAAAAAGATCTCCACCTACCGACATCTAACACTCACCCAGCCCACGGATCCTTTTCTGTCTTCATGACCCCTCTTGGTTGCTTGAACTCCACGTTCATTTCGCCCCCCTCCACCCCTGCGGTCTCTATTCTTCTCCTCCCTCTCATCGCTAATCACAGCTCTCTTTTTCTCTCCCTTTAATATCTGTAAAAGAGAACTGAT